AAGTAGATTCTAGTCTCCCAACTCCAATTCCAAGATCGAGCCTTTTAAAATGCTCTTCCTGACTTCCTCGAGCCACAAGTTTGGGACTCGGGACCTGGACACTGTCTCTGAGATTTTTTTTGGGTCCGGTCGTGGGGCCTGAACTCTGGGCCTGGGTGCTGTCCCTCAGATCTTCAGCTCAAGGCTAGCGCTCTACCACGTGAGCCACAGCGCCACTTCCGGCTTTTTTCTTTTTGCTTATGTGGTGCTGAGGAATCGAACCCAGGGCCTCATGCATGCAAGGCAAGCACTCTACCACTGAGGCACCTTCCCAGCCCCAGGGAGTACCTTTCTTATCAAGCATTGTTGCCTCCTCCTTTGTTTCCCCTTCCCATCTCTTCCCATCTCCCAATACACCAGAACTTCTTAAGGACAAGGAAAACATGTCACATTCACGTTCATTGCCACATGCCCTTAGTGCCTTTTCAAATATGTGTGTATAAATGTTATATATATATAATCACAGCATTTTCCCCTATTAAAATACTATCAAAATAACCTACATGTTGAGTGTAGAATTGTTATAAACTAGGAATGCACTCAATCTTCTCTCTCTTTCTGATTATTTTCAGCAAATGACCTAAAAAGATTTTTTTGAGAGGCCTCAAACTCTAGACCCTTCTGCTTCAGCCTCCCAAGTGCAGTATTCCAGGTGTACACAACTATACCTAGCAAACTGTGTGTGTGTGCACAAATGCATGCACACACACGCCTGCATGCCCACAGTTAACCGGGGCTTGTACCTAGGATCTTGCACTCTTACTAAGCTTTTTCATTGAAGGGTGACCAGCCCTCTTATCACTTGAGCCATACCTCCAATTCCATGATAACTTCTTTTTTCCCCCATTTCCTGGAGTTCATTTCAATAACTATGATATATTCTTAAGGTAGCATCATGTGTTAAGGTACATTTTGCCACTTCTAAATGATGACCATGTCAACTTCCAGCTGCCAACATTGTCTTGTGGGTATGTCCAGTTACAACCATCCATGAATCCATGTGCTAGAGCTGTTAGCTTTCCAGAAAATGCTACACCCTTAGGTAGGCTCCAGGAAGCAGGATTAGACAGCTGCCTCCAAAATGAAAAGCCCATCTTTTGCAGAACTCTACCAGAATTTTCCATAGAATCTTAAGTGCAACTTCTGCAACTGTTGTAAACATGTCTGGTTCTCTGACTTGCACACCAGTGATGGCGTTCACATTGTATGAGCATAAGGAAAAGTGCTTGCTTAGCTTTGAGGATGTGACTAGCATTAAGGAGAGATCCCCTGGGAAGACACTCAACAGCTCGAGGAATCTGCACTGTGTTAGCATAAGGTGTGAGTGTGAGTTGGAGGCCTTCTTGCGTCCATGAGGTGCATTCTGGATATTGTCTCAAAACTGGGACATTTCTCAGAATGACATAGAGACTTGTAGGAATGAGCAAATGCGAAATCTGCTAGTCAAATAGGGCACCTATCTAGGTGTGGAGCACCTGTGAAACTGACATCTGGAACTACTCTGTGTAAGGAACATGCTTACAGAATACTGAATACATTCCTCTTACATTATAGCTTCTATCAAGTTCAGGGTCTGAGTTCACCCCAGAAAATGTCACTTTATTACCAGGATAAATTACCAGAATGCTCCACAGTATCACTTTACTAAGATTTCTATAAGAAATTCTTGTATTTGCCTACTACCAGGAACAATTATTCACCCTGTACCTGGACTTAATTCACTATGGGAACACTGAATGATGCAACTAACAGGTTTCTTGCTATCTCAGCTACCATCAAGTTTAAAGTTACACGCAGACCTACATGAAGTGTGTGTGTGTATGATACAACATGCACTTTTGGCTTCATGCCTGACTCCTTTCTGCATCTCTACCCTTGAATTTCATTCATGTAACTTAGTTTCAGTCTTGTAACTTAGTGTTTGTAATTTGTTACCCTAATTAAGTCCTTTTTGTTATTTTAAGTCCCAAAAGAGATTGTCCCCAGCCCCACTGCCTGTGGAGGTGGGGTAACCAGCTCATCAGTTCATTCCTTGTTTTATAAAAGAAATGTCAACCCTGTAGTATAACCAGGTCAATTTTGAATCTGTGTGACTCTCTAACACAAAACAAACTTTGTGAGGAAAATAAAAACAAAACTGAATTTGCACAATGAATATTTATTTTATATTGACAAGAACTTAGCAAAGTTGTTTAGTGTCATAGTGGTATTGCAGTAGTTTTTAAAAAGTTGTCCTTTAGAGAGTGGCAGAGTACTTGCCTAGTATTTGTGAGGCTCTGGATTTGATCCCCAGCATCAGAAGGGGGAAAAAAAACAAAGTAGAGATAAATGCTGAAATACTTATAGCCAAGTCTGATATCAGCTGGATGAAGAAATAGTTTTCTCCTGGGGAGGGGTGACAAACATTTTTAAAGTATAGTCTCTTTCATGTGCCCTCCTCTCCCCTGGGATGAGAGCCAGTAATCAACATGAGGAGTACGGGGGCAGCGCCTTGCACGTGCTAAGCAGCCACTGTACCACTGAGCTACACATCCAGGTGTCCCTGGGCACCCCAGCACACTCTGGTGCAGGTGGTGCTCAGATCTCACTTTGAGGGAACTAAGCTATGGTGACACTTTCCAGAATTCAGTTCCAGAAAAGCTTTGCTCATTTTAAGATGAGACCACTATTTTCTTGGGATTCCATGTAACTTCTGGTTTGGGGTTTTGTGTTTTTTTTTTTTTGCCGGTTGTAGGTCCTGAACTCTGGGCCTGGGCGCTGTCCCTCAGCAATTCAGCTCAAGGCTAGCGCTCTACCACTTGAGCCACAGCGCCACTTCCAGCTTTTCCTGCTTATGCGGTGCTGAGGAATCTAACCCAGGGCCTCATGCATGCAAGGCAAGCACTCTACCACTGAGCCACCTTCCCAGCCCCATCTAATTCTTATTTCTAATTGTTGACAACACGTTCAACACTGGTGCAGCAGCATTCTACACAGCAGGCAGTATCTTCCCTATTATAGAGCTCTTCTGCTCTAGCCAGCCAGAACAAGGAAGCCATAAGTTAACCTCTCTCTTGTCTGTCCATGTGAACAATGGTTTTAAGTCCTGCTCCCTCAAAGGGGTTAGTGTGGTCAGGTATGTGCATGACAGGCTCAGTATTTGCCCCATTGAGAAGCCCTGAGTCATCTTACTTTTTACATGTAATCCTATTGACAGTTCCATAGAAACAAGGGTGAAATTTTCATATGGAATTAAATTGCATGGTCACACAAATTAATGCTCTGTGCCTCCATTTGTACCTGAGGCTAAGGTTCCACTTTCTGTCACCACTACACTGCTGCTAGTCAAGGAAAATGCTTCAAAGCCTCCCTACTCCATATAGAGAAGCAGTCACCTCACAGAGTCCTAAACTTGGAATCGGGAAATTTATGTTCTTGTGTCATCAAATTTCACATAATCAGCCATAGGACCTTGACTGTGCTATTTATTCTGAGCCTCAGCTCCATCTAAAAATTGGATAACATGCCGGGTATGCTGGAGGCTCATGTCTGTAATCCTAGCATCAGACAAATCCTCAAATCTGTGAGATTCTTATCTCCAATTATCCAGCAAAAGAACGAAGTGGAGGCATGGCTCATGTAATAGAACACCAGCCTTGAACAAAAAAGCCACGTAAAGAGCATGAGGAGCTACGTTCAAGCCCCAATACTGACACCCACAAAAAAAAAAATAGTAACAGCTGTCTAGCCTACAAAGCTGTCTATTACATTATCGTGAGAGCTTAAGATTGCACACAGAAAGAGGCCTAAGACTGCAAATCGCTTCAGATAACAATGAGTTTACCTGAGGCTTAGCCCATATTATTTGTAGGCACATAAGAGTTGGTTACAGGCAAATACAGATCAGTTTCCACACATCTGCTTCACTAACCCAGCATATAACCTGACCAGAGCTGGGAGTCCTACAACATGCATGAAAATCTGCAGGAGTACTCTGGAACCTGGTGCAGCAGCATTCTACACAGCAGGCAGTACCTTCCCTATTTATTTATTTATTTATTTATTTTTGGGGGGAGGGTGGATCTGATCATGAGGCCTGGGTGCTGTCCCTCAGCTCTTCAGCTCAAGGCTAGCGCTCTACCACTCAAGCCACGGTGCCACTTCCGGCTTTTTTCTTTTTGCTTATGTGGTGCTGAGGAGTTGATCAAGGCTTCATGCATGCAAGGCAAGCACTCTCCCACTGAGCCACCTTCCCAGCCCCAGTACCTTCCCTATTATACAGCTCTTCTGCTCTAGCCTGCCAGAACAAGAAAGCCACAAGTTAACTCTCTTTGTCTGTCCATGTGAATAAAACAAAAATAAGATTCCACAACTATACTGATCCTGATTAGCAGGATGTAGAAACCAGTTACATTGCTTGCCAGTGGACTAGGAATTTGGGATAATTGTCAGTGTCCTCTCTTGCCCCTGCTCTGGGACGGGAGATTGCTAAACTACAGCCAATAAACCCATCTGATGAAAGGAGGCCCATGGGGCCACTAGACTTTATGCTGAGCAGGCATCCAGGGTTCCTTTGGCAGAGAGGCAGAAAACCCATGTCCTCCCTGAAATAGCTCAGGTTTTTCTTTGAAAACACAAAAGCAAGAGCATATTGGAGGCCCACTACCACGGCAAAGTGCCCACTCAAACAGAATGACATCAATCTTCACTATGCTATGGATGGCAGAACCCCAACTTTGATGTAGTGGAGTTTGATCTCAGGACCTCATGCTTGCAAGACAGGCGCTCTACCACTTGAGTCACATCTCCAGTCCATCAAGTAACTTAAGTGGCACCTTTTCCCTTTTACAATCTGGACCATTCATTTCTTTCCCACTTGATTGCACAGACACGTATGAGTGCTTTTTTTTTTTTTTTTTACATATTCCTAAAGATAAAAGACAAAAATGTCAGGGAAAAAAAAGTGCTCAAGCAGTCAACACTTAATGCTAAGAATATACATCTAAGAGACAAACCACAGCAAAACTTTCCTAAACAGAACTTTGATCCTAAAAACAGTAGTGACTGAAACTTCTAAGGCAGAAGAGTATACACACAAAGAAAAACATGGAACATTTCCTTTGCAATGATTTAACCTTAAAACACCTACATATTTTTTTAAATAATAACATTTTTAAATGTGCAAAAAAAAAAAAAACCCATACCCATAGTGTTTAAGCCATAATACCAATCTTTGGTTTCTATGATACAAAAAGAAAAGCATGTAACGTGCAGAATAAAATTGAATTCAAGTCACTTGTGGTGACTCACAGCCAGGCAGCAGTTGGAATCCTGCGATGGCTTTCAAAGCAGGAAGGTAAGGTACTGCCTACTGCTTGTACTTGGACCCAGAATCATTGATGGGTAGAAAAGAGAGGGACATCTCTAATAGCAACTAAATTCACTGAGGCTCGGGTGTAACTTCCGGGGCTAAAGCTAAGGTAGTTTTCAGTAAAGATCGTTCTCCTGGAGAGCATGGTCAGCATGTGGTTGAGGCGAGACCTGATGCCGGTCAGGTGATGCTGTCGCTCTTGATTCAAGTTTCTCAGCGAGTCCCTCAGGCACAGATCCAGGTGCGGGGTGCCCAGGTAATTGGGGTACCCAGGATTGTGGAGGTCGGTGGCTCTCAGAGAAGCGTGGGAGCCAATGGAGCTGGCCACAGAGCCTTGGGAAGACAGAGAGGAGGATGACTTCAAACTAGACGACCTGGACACAGACATCTTTGACACAGGTGACCCATCTTTGGACTGGGGTCCCTGGGGAGGGAGGCTGCTGTCCTCAGCATCTGTCTGTGTGGTGGCTTCCCTGGACCACAGCACAGTCTGGGAGCTCACAGCCCTGGTGGCCACCTCAGTCTGGGTCCCCACAGAGGCGGTGCTGGAGCTGGTCTGTGTCCCCACCTCGCTCACGCTCACCGCAGCCAGCTCCTCTCCTGGTTCTGTTTGAGTGGCAATATGGACCCCCTGGCTGCTGTCCAGGTCATCCTGGTGGCTTTGCAGGTAGTCATCCTCGCTGATGGTGGAGGCCTCCGAGTCCTGCCGCTGAGCATCCTCCCCAGCCCCCGTAGTCCCGGGGCCCAGAGGTGTCTTCTTGGGCGTGCTGGACAATTTGTCCAGGCGCATACGCAGCAAGTTGCCCAGCGTGAGCGTCTTGGACAACGGTTTCCGGTCTGCCAGGTGGTAAAACCCGCCATGGAACCGGAAGTTAGACAGCAGTTTGGAATTGATAGGCTTTGACTGGGCATAAAGGATCCGGAACTCCAGATCAAAGTGTTCAACCACTTGGCCAGACAGAATTACCAAGTTACTGCTATTTAATTTGCCATCCGTCCATGTAAAACTGAAAAATTGAAAACAGACAACAAAAGCTGGTAAGGATAAGGACTTTCAGTTTACTGACAGTCTTAATAATGAAGCTCATATTCTGCTATTTAATATTCACAACGTTGGTGGTAACATACAGACCAATTCAGTGTGACATCAACACACCTTAACAGAAGTATAGAACGTGTGTGTGTGTGTGTGTGTGTGTGTGTGTGTGTGTGTGTAAATGAAAAGGTCAGACCAACTGTTTAATCAACAGGCAAAAGCCACATGATCCTCAGTCTTAGAGTTTTAAAAATGAGAAGGGGACTTTCAAGTATTTAGGCAGTGCTATGTTCTCTTTTAGAGATGAACCCACTAACAGTACCACAATAGGGAGCTATTCATAGGTCATAGATTAGGCCCGTATCTGACACCATGTTCGTCCCTATGGTTTCCATTTCTGCAGAAGGAGATGATTTGTTACCCTAACACTGAACACACTAAGAGCTGATTACTGCCCCTGTGCCCCTGCCTGTCCAGCATCTCTATCTCTGTTAACAGGAGAAAGCTTTATGTGCCCATCTAAGTTCAACAGGGGTGGACATACTGCCCAGGTTGCCCAGTGAATTCATCTCCTTAGATTCAGGGATTATTATTCCTGGGTGGGCATAAGGCCCCATGATGGCCTAATAAGTTCCCAGAAATTCACACCAGTACTGTTGTGAAGAGAATCTCACTTTGGAAACAGCTACTACAAGGTGTATATGTAAGCCAGGGTCTCTGCCATCAAAGGGAAAGAGCCAGCCGAAGAGTAAAGTTCAGCCAGAGAAAAGCAGAATCGAGACAGAGTCAAGCCCTTGGTCAAAAGAGGCTGACAACCAAATGTACTCTCCCACACTTCCCTATTCTGTGTTTGTCAGTATCACCCTGCCAGGGTGCACTGTAGTCACTACACTAATAACAGATATTTTCCTACCTTAAGTAGAATGCTTTAATGAGAGATCCTGAAACATACTTTCAGCTCTGTCTTTTACAACCAAGAACCCTGACTAATACAGATGCTACTTATGAACTATCTTCAAAGCTTGAAAAAGGATTTTCTTTTTTTCCTTTTCTTTTTTTTTGTTTGCAGTTTGGGGGCTGGAATTCAGGGCCTAGGCACTGTCCCTGAGCAATTTTGTTCAAGGTTAGCACTCTACCACTTTGAGCCACCGCTCCCCTTCCAGTTTTTGAGTGGTTAATTGGAGATAAGATTCTCATGGGGGGGCTGGGAAGGTGGCTCAGTGGTAGAGCGCTTGCCTTGCATGCCAGAGGCCCTGGGTTCGATTCCTCAGCACCACATAAGCAAAAAGAAAAAA